AATGCGAAAACTGTAAAAGCTCAGCTGCCCATAGGTAGGTAGGTGTGTATAATTATATTTCAAGGTTGCGGCACGCGAATTCAAGTATCTGGCACGTCGCGACAGAACTGTGGACTTGGGAGGTATTCTGAAATTGAACTTCCCACTGAAATTTGTTTCAGCAGTTATGAGCAAATGAAATTACATCATAAATATCCAGAAGTAGTTAGTAACAATTTTACGCACAATAAAAGTCGAAAGAAAAGTGGACGATTATTACTTAAGAATCATGAATAACTAGGAAGGTTCCCAGTTTCTCTAGCGCTTCTATTCGTATAGTCTGTGCTTCACGATGTTACAAAACATTGCTCCGAATATAAGAATGTGTAGAGAAGTGACAGGATTGCTGTATATATTTGAAAGTCCTTCGTAACTGTATTTACGGTTTGTAAACTTGTTATTCAATATTAAATGTTGTTCTTACTTCACGAGTAGTCACGGTGCATCAGTAAATTGTTTCTCGCAATTGCTATTTTTGTGTTTATCGTGGTCGTATAAAGAAGTATACTGATAATGTTCTCTGGTAACTGTTTTTGACATTTGAAAGTAGGTGTTCACTGGATAATTAGCTGTTCCGTTATAAGGACTTGTTAGTACGTCAAACAACATCAAATAGTAAGCATTTACTCTGATATGAGTGGTGAATAGAGGCCCTGGTTTAGAAAAAAACATAGGGAGAGCTCACCAACTTAGCCCATGCAACTCTGTATGGTGACAAAGCAATAATGAAACGAAGTTCGTAATGTGCTTCAAGTTCAATAGGATAGCAGCCAACAGAGTGTAGCTGTAAGTGTCTTGTTGCAAACATTGCCCTTCATTCTACAATCGCTTTGGATTTCGCCTAAGTATAGCCGTTTAGTATTTGTAAACAAATAGTAGGAACCAAATTTACTAATTCACAAACTTCAAGTATTACTATGGTGTTTGGGGAAAAACCAGTCAATTTTCATAATAATGATATTAATTCCTGGTTTACATACAAATACGAAATCAGAAGGGGTTTTGTGGATATTATGGTAATTTTAATAGTTGAGATCATGAGTCAGTTGAAGCTAGACCACCATGGAAAACCTGGAAGCACTGAACGGCCGTTTCGTCCTATTGTGGGACTCCTCAGCAGTGCGCATCCACGACCTCGCCCCCTGCGAGATTCGAACCCAGGACCAACTGGTTTCGCGCGCGAGCACTTAACCACTAGACCACTGAGCGCACTGCTGAGGAGTCCCACAATAGGACGAAACGGCCGTTCAGTGCTTCCAGGTTTTCCATGGTGGTCTAGCTTCAACTGACTCATGATCTTATTGATTGAAATACGAAATCATTGTAAAGCACATTCATATGCAACAGATCTCTGTTTTATTAATATATTTACTTGAACAAAAACATCGATACAAGAGGGCACCCAATATATATGCGCCACACAAAACAATGAGGATTTCAAAAGAAGAGGAAAAAGAGGGGGGTAAAGAGCGTAAAAAATAAAAGCAAAATAACGAACAGATTAGTGTAAGGTACTGTGATAATCATGATAATGGAGGAAACGGAAAGGTACAATCAGAAGAATTCTTTCAGTTAAGGAAGATACAACCACTTTTTATGAGGAAAGTAAAAAAAAGGTTACAGCAGGATCGCCAATGGCTTCTATTCTGGGCCATATCTGATAACGTCTCTAGCCACTGTGTTGCACCATCTCCAGGACCCCAACCAGGGAGTCGTGAAGGACCAACAGAAGCCAGTCCTGTACAGCTTTCTTTCATACCATGATACCATGTCATATACTGACCACCTCCGCTTTTTTCCAACCAGTCAGCAAATAATGCACGATGTGGAATTCTCTTGAACGACATTCGTAGAACATGTCGAAGCCACCGAAGTCGGTGTTTCAAATGTCGTCTCTGTGCCCGAACACTCGATGCCGAACCCCTGCATTACTAACATGGTGTTACCAGTGGATTTCAGCAATGCTTCGGAGACAGCGATGACCAAACACAGAGAGTCATCTAACATCCTCAACTCAGAGAGGCCAGGTTTCACAAGCACAGAGCAAAACTGTTCTCACCGACACGTTGTAGATCCGACCTTTTACAGTCAGACTAACATCACACAGGCGCCAAAGATAGCCCAGATTGGCATAAGTCGCTCTGGCCTTCACTATACGTGAATTGATCTCATCACTCACGCCACCACCAGCACCTATGCAACTACTCAGATGCATGAACTTCTAGACTACTTCCATCTGCTCACCATCCAGGGTGAGTACAGGATTGGAATCCTGCCAGTTTTGTAAAAGTACTTTGCACTTGGAAGGTGCGAGGCACATACCATACCTACGGGCACTAATCGCCAACTGATTAAATGCGGACTACACGGATTGGGTGTCATCGCAGAGTAAGACAATGTCATCCGCACACCGAAGGTCGAGAAGTCGTTCTTTGGGCAACAGATCTACACTGCCGTTCCCTACATCCGTCAGATCTGTTTCTAGAACATCATCGACAGCCAAGTTGAAGAGGAATGGTGAGATTCAAGCCACCCTGTCTAAAACTACTGCTTGAGTGCGACAATGGGGAGAGATGGTTGTATGCCTTCACTGTGTCTGAGGTGTTTGTATATAGGGCTTTTAAGATGTTAATAAACTTCTCAGGTACGCCCTTCTTCAATAGACAATTCTAGAGAGCAGTCCTGTCCAACGAATCGAAGGCAGCCCTGATGTCAAGAAACACTAGGATTGTTGGCCGGTGATAAGTATGACGGTGTTCTAACATTATGCGGAGGGTGAAGATATGGTCGATACATCCTCGACCAGAACGAAAACCAGCCTGCTCATCGCGAGTCAATCTTTCTCGGGTTTTGAACAATCTACGAAGTCTGACGGAAGCTAATTGTTTGGACGCAATCGGAAATAGACTTGTCCCCCGATAGTTGCTACAGCAACGGCGTGAACCCTTGTTAAAGTTAGGGACAACTATCGACTCATCCTACGATGTTGGAACACTCTCTAATTGTCAGACATTTGTAAACAACCCAGTCAGTTCTTTAACCAGAAAGTCACCACCATCTTTCAAAAGAGCCGGGGGTAAGTCATCTGGGCCTGGTGATTTGTAGCGCTTCAAGAATTGGAGTTTCTTGCGGACTTCTGCCTTGTTAGGTTGGTCAGTCGCAACAGGCCATGGAGGACAGAACAGTCTGATCGATGTTGCCGGAACAGCAGGTCAGTTGAACTGCCCTTCGAAGAATTCGGCTCGTCGTCCAAGTCGTCGATAGATGTAAGTGAATGGCATCCCGTCATCCTCGCAGATTGTTTCGCCCACATCAGACTTTTTGTTGCCAGTGGCTCGGATGAGTTGGAAGAGCTTCCGGTAGTTACCAGATGCAACTGCTGCTTCCAGCTCATTAGCACGCTCTGACCACCAGGCTTCTCGGTCCTTACGCAAGCTTTGTCCAATTTCATTACGTAACATCCTTCGTTTGTGGTCAAACTTCCGGTCACCCGTAGTAGAACGACGGGCTTCAATGAGTTGTAAGGAACCAAAAGAGCCCCCAAATGCCCTGGTACGGCCGAGAGTGGGGAGAGTCCGCTCTTCCTCTCGAAATGCTCTCACATGGCCATGCGTATATAGCCTCTGCCAGGGAAGTCCTACTCACTGCCTTCTCGTGGCGGGGGTGTTGTTTACAAAAATGAGAGGACGAAAAGCGAATGTTCGGCGCTCTAACCGGACCCCAAATCAATGGTGCACATGGGCTCCAGTATCCTGAAGGAACAAATGGCGTATGAACCAATCGTTGGTCACCGGCTACCATGGGACTACATCTCCTTACGATGCTCCACTGCCTTGTGGATCAGATCTTCAGGTCAAAGGCTCGGGATGTGGCCCCCTAAGAAAACCACCTGCTTCGGTTTGGGCACCCGGACAGTATCACAGCCCTCACACGAATCAATTGAGATTCGTGTGGCGCATATGTACTTGGTGCCTCCCTGTACCTATACTTATGTGTTAAAATAAAAAATAAAATAAAGGAACCAAAAGAAACCCAGTATTTATAAGCCGGACGTTTCGCGAGGCCGCAAGCGGCTTTATTCGCCATTGTGATGGCGTCTTGAAGTTGTAACCAATGCTCATCTATATGAAAATAGTTTAATAAACAGTTCTACAGAGATTAAAAGAGTAATTAAATATCTTCCAAATATTGCTACAAGATAGTGAGAGCCTACAATGTACGACTGTTTATATTATCGTCAACATATGATAATGAAGAACAATGAGAAAACGGACACAGTAATTATGTGTAGGCTCTGTTTACTGGACTATAAAAGGTAAGTCCTATAACGGCTTACACGACACATTAAAGGTAAGCCGTAACAAAGAAAAATAAAGTACACAAAAATTTGTCTAGCTGACCTTTCAGTTTATATAGAAAAATGTCTTAAAGTGTATATGTGTGATCACATTGTTTGAAATATATCACATAATTTTGATAACCTCTGTCTTCTCATTGCATTATCGAAAATTATACGACACAACCTAGTTGGCGAAACACCAATACTTATAGCGGAATCTAAACTTATGGTGATCTCTTCAAAAGTTAAGTCCCTACACTAATGAGTTACAGGTGGATTGAAAGGCTAGTGAATTAATTTTATCAAGCGAATCTCAAAGACTAGAAACAATGGAAGACTTCCTTGAAAGAAAATATCTGTAAAGTTAAGTAACTGGGAGGAAAATTCAGACAAATCTGGCACACACTAAATTACGATAACATCGTTTGAATAAAAATCTTTTGTAAAACCAGAACAAAAAAGCTTAAAAACACTTTAATGCAAGAAAATTTTTATTACATTACTCAGGAGGGATATACTTAACGGCTTTTTTTGAGGCTCTCGGAAGACCTATCATCTCACTATCATAGTACACATTGAATCGATGATGACCACGTCTTTCATACACGTGACTTCCATCTGGTTTGATTTGTACAGGTAGTAAGCCTAAACGAGGTCAAGAATTTTTAGAGAGCGATATTTCTTAGAATAAAATAAATAATACTTTAACAATCTGAAATTCTATTTAGCTAATTGGTAGTCTACAACAGTACTACGTAATATCTGTGAACCCTTTTATTATCCCAAAATAATCTTACCTCATAGATTTGGAATTCTTTAACAGTCTATTTTGAAACTATAGTTAGTAAGAAATAAATCTCAATTGGAATAACAATATATTACTTTAATTCGATCACTTTGTAATACTTAGTGTAAATAAGAAATAAGTGTGAATTCTGTGCAGTGGCCGGTCCCTAAATGATTCAGCATAGCCAAGGTTGGGAAAAGTTTGCTCCTCTTCTCTAAATGCTCTCAAATGGCCACGCGTATACAGCCACTGCCAAGGAAGTCCTACTCACTGCCTTCTCGCGGCATTACCGTTGCTTACAAAATTGAGAGGACGAAAAGCAAATATCCGGCGCTTTAACCGGGTTGTTGGATACGGAGGACCCACCAAGAGGAGTTGGAAAACTCTGGTCCCAAATCAATATCGCTTATGGGCTCCGGGATCCTGCGGGAACAAGTGGTGTATGAGCCGATTGTTGGTCACCGTCTACCATGGGACTGCATCTCTAAACGTTGCTCTACTGCCTTGTGGATTAAACCCCTAGGTCGAAGGATACAGGAGTGGTTCCCTAAGCAAACTACCTGCTTCAGTTTGGGTACGCAGACAGTATCCTAGCCCTCACACAAATCAAATGATTTGTGTGGCGTATATATATTTGGTACCTCCTTGTACCAATGTTTACATGTTCAAACAAATAGACTAATCTCCGATGTATGAACCTATCTGACGATAAGAACTGATTAGCTGTTTTGTGAAATACTTTTACGTTATAAACGCACTTCTTTGAGGTTTAATGATTGAGAAACATTGCGGTGTTACACTAATACTCCAGAAAAATAACAGAATTCACCACTTACAAAGGTAATTAATATAACTCAAGCTGCAATGTTAGTGTAAGAGCTATCGATATTACCGGATTGTTCATACTATTTTAGATTTGATCCTGTATCGTGGCTGAAAGCCAAATAAAATGATCACTGAGGTAACATTATATGCACTGGAATGTTTCATAGTATTATACTTTCATGACCACGTGTGAAAGGATCATCTTTCACTACTTAAGTTAACAGCATGAGAATTAAGTATTTTGAACTATCAATAAATTTAAATTAACTTACCAGCCTTCCTTGCGCGTTCAATCATTAGTTCCAAATGGGTTTGTGACCGACAGCTTATACCTGAAATACGTCTAGGAAGAACAGTTCCATCAGGTCTTAGAAACTGTGATAATATTCGGATATCCTACAAAGAAAATTAAGTGACGTGATAGTAGTTTACTGTGTGACGAATATTTAAACCCAACCGACTAATCGGATCTCCATCTCGAGGGTCGCCAAAACCATCTAAGCATACAACTTTTCCTTCACGTTCTGACGGGACAAGTACTCCTTCAACCTGTTTATCAATATACACTTACAAAAAGCATGGTAACATACCGTTGTCACGTTTTTATTAACTGCATACTTTACTAAATGGTTACAGGATAAGCAGCTTTTATACAGGAATAACTAACCTTCTTTTTTGTTCCTAACATGAGAAGTTGAGAGAAATCTGCGCAATGCATCTGAGCAAAATTTGGTTGGATATAACTGGAAAGCCATTAATAAAGATTTGTCCGTTAGTGGTAAAAGTAGACCGAAATTTCTAGTAGATTAGCAAATCTATTAGTGGATAAGGGGCCCCTACAACCAAAAGATTATTGACATTTGCAAATATTTTGAATTCAGGTAAAAATCAGTAACAAGGAATATGTATATGTATAAAGCACAATGCCTTTGTCCTAAGATAGTGAGTATTCTAGTGCCATCAGCTATTCCCCAATTTTGGGGAAAATTTTACCTATTTTGGGGAAGCCGCCATTATAAACTTTGGGGAAATTTTGGGGAAATGCCACAAAAACCCCAAAATTTCCCCAACCTTTGGGGATTTACCCAAAATTTCCCCAATAATTGTGGATTTCCCCAAAATTTCCCCAAACTTTGGGGAGGGCTGTTTAACTTTGGGGATTTCCCCAAAATATCCCCAAAGCTCCCCAAAATATCCCCAAAGCTCCCCAAAATTTCCCCAGAATTGGGAGCTTGGGAAAGCAGTCGCCAATTTGGCTGTACTATGATCTTGGGAGGAAATAATTAAGTAGTCCGAAATGTTAGAAATACGGGTGAACAATTAAAGAAGATAAGGTGATTTAAAGTTTCACCAACAGTAGTAATAGTGGTAATCGGTAAAATGCGAGAAGAGGTGAAATTATTGTAAATGCCAAGCGTATCTCCACATGAGTGGATCTAATGGGCCGGCATCTTGGACTGGAAACAATGGACAATTACGCAGTTGAGGTTGACCATATACTGTCCATACGTTTCCTATATTCATAATTCCCGTCTAGAATACCTAAATGGGACCAAACTTGAACATCACACGTTCTCAAGGATACTGATAATAGCGTAGATAAAGCTTTCAGTCTTCGGTAATGAGGATAGAAGATGAGTGATCTTGTGTTAATCCTGACAGACAGCCTTCCAATGAAGGTTCAGCTTCTCCTTGAAAATATTCACTGATGGGGCGTGTACCACTTGTTCTGTTAGGGCGTTCCAGACATTGACTACTCCATGAGAAAAACGGGACCCCATATTAAGTTTATTATATCGCGGTTTATGAACCTTTTTGCTATGACCTCGTAGGTTATTAGTGCTGGGGAGAGCAAAAAGATAAGACATATTAACACCCAAATCATAATTAAAGATACGAAATTCTAGTATAAGGTCACCTCGCATCCTACGACACGACAAGGGGAAAAGGATTAGGCGCTTAACGCCCCCGTCGTAAGGTAGTTTAGAAATACCCTTCAATAATTTTATCCCCACACATCTGAACACGTTTAAATGAGTTGGTATTTCGTATCAGACATGGGATAACTGCCTGAATACAGTACTCTATGTGTGGTTTTACATAGGTGGGATATGAAGTTTGAAACATTTCCTCTTCAATGCATTTGAATGCTCAGTTAAGTGACCATAACTCACGAGAACTTTCGACAGATGCTGCTTTGCAATGCGTAGTTGCTTTCAAGTCATGTTCTTTAACGCCTGAAAAAGATGTGCCATCAACTATTACCGTGTCCGATGTGCATGAACGCACTCCTCCTAGAATAAACTTTCAAGCCTCAACCTCGAGCCTATCTAGTCAATTCATCTAAGTCCACAATAACTACTCACTAGAAGGCCGTGGGCTTGTATTAGTCCATTTCCAGCATGTTCGTGTGTATTTTGTTTTTTTAGTGATATAATGCAAAAAAATCCCTTCCCCTGGTTACAGATAATGCGTTATTATATCTTCCCCCTGTGAAATATTAATTACTGGGTTTGACAGTGCCTGTAAATATGGAATAAATCTAACCTATTTCAGACAAACACATCTATGGATAAATTAGTTCTGAAATGTATATACTATGGTAGCCACAAATGAGCAGATAAACCATGTGTGTTGTGTGTGTAAATAAGTATTTAGGCATTTGGTCAATGTGACTGAATTTTTAGTAACTCAGCCTTTATGGTAGAATAACGCCGTATATTATGCGTAAATACGTACTTACATACACAAACGAATCTATTAAAGCCATGGTTTGTAAGGGTAATTACACCCACTAAAATATTTGTAACATGTTTGTAATGATAGTCGTTAAAAAATGAATTTATATTCAACGTCACATGATATGTGTTCGGATTAAAATGACACGTTCATTGGTCGGAAAAATTTTGACTTCATCGAGGAAAGATAAAAATAGCCACTAACCGAGCCAAGGTACTATTCTTTAAGTTGGCTTTCCCATAATTCAAGTAGACAATGAATTAGATAAACGATAAATAGACACACGGACATGAAAATCATACGTGTAAAAATATACATTAACAATTCACAAATCCCAATAAATAGTGGGAATTACCATGAAAGTTGTACCAGGATAAAATGAATAATTTGCACCATGATGTTTATCTGATATTACCAATCCCGACAAAAATAACTTTTCAAAGGCATTTGCTAAACCACTGCAAGATAAGTTGACCACTTGGTAAAACCTGTACTTGTACTTGAATGCCTCTTTGGCCCGTAAGATTACCTAGCACGCTAAAATAACACTAATTTTGGAATAAACGTAATTTGGGATAACAGTAATTTATACGGAAGCGTTCGGTTCATAAAATAAAACGGGCGCAAAGCTATATGTTAGTAATTCATATACCTCGAATTAGGCGACATTATATCCTTTGGGATCAATGTATGATCGTGGCGAACGCTTTAATTTTCCAATGCATTTGTAGTGGCATTAGGCCCTAACCATAAAATCATCAAAGCTGAACACGAGACAATTAGGAAAGATGTTCAACATTTAAAGCGGAGAAGTACCCAACAATGGAGAAGGCGGGAACAATAAATGAAATTTATTCGAGTTGATCGGATGGCATGGCTCAGCCTTGCAGTCATGGTCCTTGTTGAATGCTACATTGTATCTTTTATTCATAATAAACACATTGCTTTATCTTTAGCCTAAGCTTGTTCTCTATCATGTATTGGTGATTATTACGATGCAACGAGCTGGTGTAGACGATTATATGACTTCCACGTAAGACCTTACAAACCAGGCAGTTATGTTATGACAAATCTACAATTTTAGGATTAGATCTATAATTAGAGCAGTACTAATATCATAGTAGATCGTAATTCCACACATTCTTCGTGTGCCAATTCAAATATTAATGGAATTCAACTAATAGCAGTCCTCTGAACTTATTTTACTGAGTCAAAGTCAGTCTTTAGGCAGAGACGTGTGTTCTGTAAATAATTCTTTTGATATTAGTCATATAAGTTCCTTGCAAATTTTTGTGAGCACATTCATATAAATTTATTAAAGTCATTCTTGGTGTAGGTGAAAGAAAGAAGGCAGTAAGTCGTGGTCTTCAACTCACGACTTACAACGACGCCGAGGACAGTGAATTTAGGCTAACACAATGGTTATTTCAACACTTTAAAACTTAGTAATTTACATTTATCCAGTTTCATAAAAAACAGCTGCATTGGTGGGCAACATGCTTTCATTGTAACAGCCTAGCAAGATGCCCCGTTTGACACTAAGTACTCGTGTGATGCGAATTCCCCCCACCGCGAAATTAGTATCGGCAACCTACTAAAGCTTCATGATTCACCTCGATAACTGAAATCTATTATACAGAACCTCACAGAAGGTTTTATTGGTCTTCTGATTTTATGCTATGTAAAAATTCTGCTCACACCTTTGTTGCTAGTGGAAGACCTGTTGAACATAATGATCAACCCGAAGAACCGTGTTACGCATGAGCTAGCAAGCTTTATGGCTTACACAGAGACAAAATGGAATTGTCGGTATTTCCAAAGACGGAACGACTATGTTCATCAAACTCATCGCCTGTAATTCGAACGTTGCTATCATGGTTGTAGACATGATCGTCCCGGTTTCATGGTCTTCCTACTGCCACTGTGTTTATTTAAACATGTCTGATTGAATGAGGAGATTGTTCATTCGAGCCCGCCGGCTTTCTCATCACTACATCATCACGTAAAAATAAATATGGCAGCCCTAACAACAAATATGTAAAGTACAAATGTTGATGTAGTTCGCGAGAATCATGGAAATTCGGTAGAAACATAGAAAAACGAAAGCCACAAAATAAATAAATAGTAACCGTCTTCGTTGGAAATAAAAAAATTAAAGGAGTGTACATCTGGCGGGATTAAGAATAATGTCTTCACACTTAAAAATAAAGCAACGAGTTGCATCATAATGATGAGTACATGTGCGCAATTCTATATACATTCACAAAGAACTCCCAAAAAAATCTTAAACGCCACTTATCTCCACATTTTCGAGGGAAAACATATATTGAGATTTTAGGACAGAAACATGTAATTTTGTAATACACGATGACCGTACATTTTGTATTTGTCAACATATGTTATAAACACATTGATGGAATAGACATGGGTTCGCAACTAGGTCTTTTCTTTGTTGATTTGTTCTTTGTGAAAGCACAAAATGTACCTCTCAAAGAGGTTACTGATAAGCTTGACTTATATTTTCGTTACATTGATGATGCGTTTGTGGTGGAGTCGAGTCGTACTTGACTATGATCACTACTACAGATTGATAACCTACCGATTGCCAGGTTAAATCCCTCCATGAAATAAATATTAAAAAGTCAGTTATAAATTGTAGTTACAATACATTTGTTGGTGACCTCGTGGTATCGAAATAATGCGGAGATCGTGCCAAAGTTTACAGGTGAGACTACCGTGCGTATGTGAGTGAGTGCAAGGTCACGAACTACGGAAAAATTGCGCTTTTGGTGCAATTAAACAAAAAAAGTACAGTGAAGCAATCACTGGTACACTTGGTTATAATAATAAATGTTTCCATTACACTAATCACGTTCCCTTCGTAAACGTAGATCACTACACTTTCTTGAACGTCAAAAAGAACAATGGGAAAGTAGAACTTTTAGAGCTACTTAATAATAAACATTCAGAAATCATATTCATATGTGAAGAGTTTGATAAGAAACTACATTTCCTC